GATTGAGAAGTTACAGAAGTTCTGGAGGTGGTTAAGTGTGTGTTTAATCGTAGGAATTAAAAAATGACTGTATCAACATGAATTGATTGTACATGAAACCTCACTGGTCTAACCATTTTGGAACACCATTGAGTTACCCGACGTACCTAAATGCCTTGTTGTAAGAGACAATTGGAGTAAAGCTTATTCTAGTTGTTATTATCTCCTTTGACCAACTTGTCTTAAGTTTATCTCAAGATTGTGATATACTACCTTGTAGTTACCGTGTCAGAGTTAAAGTAGAGAAGTCGTAGTGCGAGGACTTAACCATTGGTTATGATCCTATAATGGCTCAATAACTTTCAGAATCTAGACTTTCTCTTTGAATTCATGGTCATTGTTTTACATAACTTTATCAAGTATTCTTCCCCTGAATCCCACTTGTTCTGCAAAGGTGCCATTGCTCTAGTGGAACTTATGTTGAACTTTAAATGAGGCTTGGAGGCTGAAATGAAAACATGAAAATCAAGTGGCGCATTAGAAGAGTAGATGAATCAAGCCATGCACTTAAAGATCAAGAGATCTATTAAAATTCAACACTATAGTCAAACGAATTTTAAACTCCTAGATGATGGTAATTGTGTTGGGAAAATAGTAAAAAGAACAAACTTTTATTCACGGGGAAGCATACCCATAAAAGAAGAAAAGAAGCAAAAAATTCAACATTAAAACTCAAAAAATTATAATTTAACTTCTAATTTTATAATGAAAAAATTATAAACCCTCTCATACAATTGCAATTTTTAAGGAGAAAATTGCAAACCCTCCAAACTACAATTTTTGAGGAGAAAATGGAAAACCCTCCAAACTACAGTTTTTAAGGAGAAAATTGAAAACCCTCTTTCAATTGTAACTTTTGAACGGAAAAATTGCAAACTCTCTATCAATTGCAATTTTTGGATGGAAAAATTGCAAACCCTCTCAATTGCAATTTTTGGACGGAAAAATTGCAAACTCTCTCTCAACTACAATTTTTGAACAGAAAAATTGAAAATCATCTCTAGACACACAACTACCAAAATCTCCAATACCCAAAAATACTACATATTATTGTTGTGTAGAAAACTCAAACTAACTATCTCTAGTTATATTAATACTTAAATTATATTTTCTTCATAATATTCAATGTTGGACTTGGATGAAAATACTATTTACCCCAACAAATTGACATGAAGATATCTCAAGCCTCATGAAGAAGACTCAAGGTTCTTATGTGAAGCTAAACTCAAAGATAATGATGTAAAGACTTGAATCTTCAAATTTGTGAAAGAGAGGAATTACGAAAGTTTGTCTAGTTGTGTATATCTGAATGACCAGTGTCTTTTAAAGACACAAGGGTATTTCTAGAAATATTACAGCTAAATCACACAAACATACACATACTAAAAATGTTTTAGAAGCCTCTCATATTTCATTTAAACCAACTAAAAATGTTTTTGAGGCCTAGCCAGTCGATTAGGAGAGTGTCTAATTGATTGAAAGATATTTTCTAGCTAAATAATCAATTAGATTATTTATATAATCGATTAGATCATGTTTGGTTAAGTATAAAATTGATTGAGATATTCTCTTAATGATTGGTAATATCTAAATATCAAAACCTTCCATTTGGAGCCTTAGGAGTGATATAGGGTGTCTAGTTGATTAGTCTAAACGACTAAGACATTAAATTGGCTCATGGATTATTTCTAAGTTTATAACACACCTTTGTTGGACTTGAGACTTCACACACAAGAGAGGAGTGAATTGTGATGTTTGAAGAAACTTGGTTTTAAAAACTTTTGGCAAATGAAAAGTAAATAGCACAAAATAAATAGTTAAGGGAAGAAAAATAATACAAAGAATTATAGAGGTTCAGTCAAATAAAAAGACCTTAGTCCTCTTCCCAAGACTTGGTCTTGAGAGTTCCCAATAATACTTTAGATCTTTTAGTAGGAAAAACTCACGAACCCCATATACAAGGAAGTGATGGTTAACATTCAACCAAATATTACAAGATGATAGATATGGGCGTTTGCATGTTTTCTTCAATATCTTGTTGAGAATGAAGTTGTCAATCTTTCTTCCCAATGGTGGACTGAAGCGGCGAGTCTACTTTCCACAAACTTGGACCTTGGAGTGGTTAGTCTTCAAGTTCCAGAATATCTAAAGTCAATTCACTACTACAAAAAAGACCTTTCGCAACACATTATTACAATGAACTTCATGTTAATCGTGGTAATAAATCCTTTACGCATGCCTGAATTTTTGAATTTTTTTTATTAAAATACATTTAATCACAGTCCTATAAATCAACCGTTATGGTATATTGAAGTTTATTTGTTTGGATTCCCAACACCAACAATTTTTTCTTCTTTTCGTTACAAAAAGAGGTTGTCAGTATAATCTTATAAGTATATTAAAATAAAATTAATTATCACCACTGTTTATTATTGAAACCGTTGTGAATAATTCTTACTTATTATTACAGTTTTTATTAACAGTCGTGGTGATAAATTATATTTATATATATTAAGCTTCCGCATAAAATATTCGTCACTCTCAAAACAAAACTCTAACATCTCTCTCTTCTACATGCAACAAACTCATCCTCATAAGCTTATTCAAACATAAAGGTAATCAAGTTCATACACTTTATATTTATTCTTCTTCTTCATAATATTTCTTCATTTTTTTCTCAAAACGAAACTCTAACATCTATCTCTTACACGCAGCGAACTCGTCCTCATAAGCTTCTTCAAATTTAAAAGTAATCAAGTTCGCCCATTTTTCAAATCTGTTCCATGTATGACACTAGTTCTCCCACCGTATTACAGTCTAACTTGGATGTTAAAAGTACATTTACAGAATTCAAAAGATAATGTTTGTTACGATGATTGACAAAGCTTATACATGACAAGTGATAACTCACATTTTGTGAGTTATTATAGACCTTAACACTTGATTTTATCTTTTTAATTCAGTCACTTATTAGTTTGATTAGTGCATTTTATTGTTTTTGAGTAATTTATAAAGAGCATAATATGTGCTCTCATTTGTGAGTTTTTATGTGTTTATTTCTTGTGTAGAGATGATTTGTGGTACTCGATGCGACAGTACTAGAATAACACTTTAACCCCCATTTTTGAGAAGAGAACTGGATGAAATAGAGGATGCAAGGAATGAATGTTCACAATTTTAGGGCATATGTGGCACCAACTAACAGGATGAAGTGCATTTGAATCAAATAGAAAAGAGATAACACCAAGGCGCTAAAAGAAAAAACCTGGTCAATAGTACAACAACTACAACGCCGAACTTGTTTCCATACGACAAAGGGCTGCTGCAAGACACTGCTGCCTGCCTACCTACACCACTAGGCTGCCACAAGACACTTTGCCTCCTACATGCTGATTGTACCTGGCTCGACAATGGTACGAAAAGGAAGAATTGGAGGGAAACATGTTCATTCTTTTGTGTTAGAAATCACGAATATCCAAAGGCCCATGATCCAAAATCCTAGTTGAAAGTGACTATAAAAGGACCGCTTAGAGGAAATGCAAAGGAGCTCAGAAATTCAGAGAGAAATACTTGGTAGAATTTGGTGAATATAATCAGCTGAAAGAAAGTGGAGAATTCTTCATCTCAGCCTCTCAAGTATAAGCTACCTGTATTTGGCATACCATAACCCGTCTCTTGCTGATTGAAGATTACACAAAAACGAAAAAGTTACACTTAGGTTTTCATTTTGTTTCATTATGTGTTTAAGAATGTTTGTCTTAGGATCCAATATTGATGTATGTACTAAGCTTATCATGAGCTAAACTCCTTGATATTGAGCAATATGAAGTTAATATAAAGTCTTTTGTGTTTAAAATATGATTTTATTATGCATTATAATGTTATAACTCTGATTTTTTGACTGATCAACTTAAGAAAAGATAAAAGCTTGTTGTTGTGAGGAATCCAGAAACAAGTGGAACTCTTGATAAATGTGATTGAAAATAGTAGGATATACATTTTCACTAGATTTACTACTTTAGGCATAAAGAGCCACAATCATAGAGAATATTCGGAATGAAACCAAACATGCATTAAATTTACAGGCGAGGTTAAGGAATTTGTCCCCTTACTTTATTTGCATACGTTTATGATGTTGTATGAATACACCAAAAGATCATATTTTGACCTCTTCTAATACGACATAACACATCATATACACACAATAGATAACTTATATTAACGGATTATTGTCCATCATATTCTCTATTATTGATTTCATTTACTCTTATGAAGCATTTCTACTATTGTTTACTTTACAAACTAAACATGTGACAACCATCACCTATTATTAATATTGCTCATGCTCATTTATAAAATATAGGTTTACAAATCAATCTAAGTTATTATGACTCTCAGTGGATTCGGCACCTATACTATTCTATCACTAACTATTTTAAAATGATATATATACTTGTATGTGACACCATCCGTTTTCAAGCAACAACAAACAATTAAAAGCATCTCTATCTAGCCTGGCACATGATGTGCCTAATCACATGCTTAGATACAATGGTAGTCAATTCATATGAAGTTTTAGTGAACTTTTTAGTGAAGTTTCATCTTTCTACATTATGCACTATTGGGGTTAAAACTCAATTTAGTTTTTGAAGTGTAATTCTCTCTTTTACTTATTCTAATCTAAAGTATATGAAAATAGTTTTTAAAATATATGAAAGTTTGTCTTGGTAGTTGCAGTTAAAGATGTTAGAAATTAAGGAAACTTATTTTTGTAATATTTTCATAGTAACTAACGATAGATTCTTTAAAATATATGAAAGTTTGTCTTGATAATTCTGTGTTAAAGATCTTAAAAATTAACGAGACCGACTTTTGTACTATCTTTTAGAACCTAACAAGATAGATCTTTTTAACTATATATTTAGATATCAACATTGGATTCTAGCCTCAAAAGTTTAGCAATGGATTCCAATAACCAAAGCAACACAAAAAGCCATAGCATCAATGAAAACCAAGTTGTGGTGGTTGTAGTACCTTTCCCAGCACAAGGTCATCTAAACCAGCTTCTACACTTGTCACGCCTAATCTTATCACACAACATACCTGTCCATTATGTTGGCACTTCCATACACAACCGTCAAGCAACACTTCGTGTCCATGGTTGGGATCCAAACTCCATTTCAAACATCCATTTTCATCACTTCAAACTTCCTCCATTTCTTTCACCTCCTCCCAACCCGAACTCAGAAACCAAATTCCCTTCTCATATGTTTCCTTCTTTTGAAGCCTCTAAGCATCTTCGTCAGCCTGTGGCGGAACTCATGCAGTCACTGTCGTCTATATTCAAAAGGGTTGTTGTGATTCATGACAGTCTTATGGCATCGGTTGTGCAAGATGCTATAAACATAGCAAATGTTGAGAATTACTCGTTTATGTGCACATGTGCTTTTGCAGTTTCGTACTCACGATTGATAGCGGTAAAACTTCCACCAGAAATGACAGATATTATACAAGCTCCTTCTACGGAAGGATGTTTTACAACCCAAATGGAGGAATTCCTTGATGTACAAAGTGAGTTCTCTAAATTCAGTGATGGGAGCATCTACAATACAAGTAGAACAATTGAAAGTTCTTACTTGGAGTTTATAGAGAAAATTGATTGCAATAAGAAGCTTTGGGCTTTGGGACCCTTCAACCCTTTAACCATTGAGAAGAAAGATTCAAAGGGTAGGCACTCATGCATGGAATGGCTTGACAAACAAGAACCAAAGTCAGTTATATATGTATCATTTGGAACAACAACAACCTTAAAAGATGAAGAGATTGAGCAGATTGCAATTGGGTTGGAACAAAGCAAGAAAAAGTTCATTTGGGTGTTGAGAGATGCTGATAAAGGAGACATCTTTGATGGGAGTGAAGACAAGAGAGCTGAAGTTGCAAAAGGGTTTGAAGAGAGAGTTGAAGGAATGGGGTTAGTTGTGAGAGATTGGGCACCCCAATTGGAAATTCTAAACCACTCTTCAACAGGAGGGTTTATGAGTCATTGTGGATGGAACTCTAGCTTAGAGAGCATTTCCATGGGGGTGCCAATAGCAGCATGGCCTATGCATTCTGACCAACCTAGAAACTGTGCTTTTATAACACAGATGCTAAAGGTTGGTGTAGTCGTGAAGGATTGGGCTAAAAGAGATGAACTGGTAACTGCTTCAGATATTGAAAATGCTGTTAGAAGGTTGATGGAAACAAAGGAAGGTGATGAGATGAGAGAGAGAGCAATGAAACTTAAAAATGATATTGGTATGTCCATGGAAGAAGGTGGAGTATGTCGTATGGAGATGGATTCTTTCATCGCTCATATCACTAGATAGTTTTCTTGTGGATGTTATTGCAAATTCCTATTATATGATGATACTTGATTAGTATATGAAATTATGTCTTAGTGTGTGTTATGTGTATTTAGAATATCTTTACAATATTTATAAATGTATTATTATGAATTGCATTTAAGCTTACTTGTTAATTTAACAATTCATAATAATCTTGCCCAACTACTGGCCAAATGCTATCATAATATTCAATTTGTTTTTCATCTCTTCACTAGCTCATTAGATGTTGGTGAAAAATAGGAGTTGTCTCTTAGTTTTGGAAGTGTGTATCTCTACTCCAAGTATTGTGTGTGAGCTGTAAACAACAAAGCTGATTTTTGTATAGTATTTTGGTTTAATCTCAAGTTATTAGGTTGGTTACTGTTGGCTGAGGTGTTACTGTGTAGCCTAGAAAGGTTACTATCTAGGATAAGTAATATTGTTTGAAGATTCTGTCCAGGACAAAAAAATACTTCAAGGTGAAGATTGATAAAACTGTGGGAAAAGAATGCCTGTAAATAATCTTGTTTGTTACATTACATAATGAAAGATCCAATTGTGTGGATTCGATGGGGTAACGTGCACTGTATTCGATTATATATAAAAGGATGTGCTACACTAATATGATTGTATTGAGGTCCGGATGGCCAAAGCTTTATTGATCTTGGGAGAGAGTCTAGTCTGAAATCCACTTGCTGTAAGACGTGGTAGTGTGTTGACTCATCCATGTCAATCATTCTATGTGTCACATACACAAATATGAAAAAGAATTTAAAAATTGCCAGAAAAATGTATATATTTGGGGACTAAAAGAGTGAGTTTTTTAATAAGGGAATCAAAAGTTTAAAATAATGCAAATAAGAGAACTAAAACTGCATTTAAGTCTAACAAGTAAGTGAATACTTATATGATGCAACATATGAGTAAAGGAATAAGTTATCCAAACTTTGAGATCCTAAGAAGTAAGAAATTACATATTTTTTAAATATGTATTGAGTGAATTGATTCACGATAGCATTTCAATTTTTAGAAGCACAACACAAACTGATTTTAGACTTTTGTGAATTGATTCACGATTAGCATGAACAGATTCATAAAGACTCTCTATATATTTGAAGTGTTCAAAGTTAGTATGAATCGATTTACGATTTGTCTTAACCTTTTCAAATACTCGTTTTTTTATACATTTTGATCATTCTTGCATTCTTAAGGACATGATGTGTCAATATAACTTAGAACTATAATTTCACGAGTTAGTCGCGTAATTCTGATGCCTTCAATGGCACTTTACCTTTACAAGTGATCTATCCATGTGAAATATTTCTAGAGTATTTAAGTCATGCTTTGTAATCCTCTTCAAGTATCTTGATCGAGAGACAGTTACTTTAAAATGAAGTTTGATAAAATTTGAAATTGATATATTCACACACATTTTAAAGAGTTTGTATAAAGGATTTATTTCGTGCTTGAAGTTGGGATGGAGACACAAGAGTCATTAGAAGAGTAAGACTTGACCATGGAAGGTCTCCATGTCGATGGTCTGCACTAGAGGAGTTGTAATAACCAGTTGAAAAAGATAGAGTTGCCACCACTACTTTTAGTCTTAACGACGGGTGAATAATATAATAACCATAATTGATGATAAAGAGATTCTAAATTATTGACTCGCTTTAGACGAAGGGGAGGTGTTAGACACCCTTCATCTACCTTGTTCACAAGGATATTAGGGTTTAGGTTTAAGGTTTAAGAATATGGGTTTTAATTTTTTAGTTAGGGGAACGCGCCACGATTTTTAAGTCTACCTATTCTCTTATGATAAATCAAAGTCCTAATTCGTAGTTCATATTTGTTTGGTTAGTTTTTTATGGATTATGGAAACATCTCAAATTCTCCTTGAACCAAGTCTGGATTTGTAAATTATGGAATTGTAGACGAAGTTCACAGTTTGATAGAAGAAGTTTCCATAATCCTTTTTGAAAATAAATATGTTTGAATTATGTTAGTAGAAAATAAGTTTAGTATTTGATTGTTTAGATGTTTTCGAATACATATGATGCAATATGAGAAAGATAGATTTTAATGCAATTAAAGAATTTAAAAGAGTTAGTATTAAAAAAAAAATTTGAATTAATAAATACTATTATAATTTATTAAAAATACATTAAATATTAAAAATATCCAATAATTTATTAATTATGCAAAATTATATGTTAATGTGATAAATAAATAAAAAATGATGATAAATAAATAAACAAATAAATAAATGAAATTATAAAAATAAATTAATTTTATTTTAAAAAACACAGGGAGTGCAAATTATTTAGGCTTGGAAATTCTAGGGGATGTGGATATCAGGGCCTTAAATCCAGATATTGGATTTAGGCCCAATTTCATGGGTTATGGATTTGAACTAAGGAAGTGACTACGGGGGTGTAGATAACATAAGCTCAACTTCAGAAATAGAACTTGGCCCAAATAAGCAGGGCGTAAGTTTTACAACAGGATAGTAATACTGGGGGGTGTGAGAAATAAGGGCCAGGCCCAAATCAGCATTTGTTTTAGGCCCGTGTGAATCCAGTGTGGCATGCGCACATGTTTATTATGGGATAGCGAGATTACGCACGCTTGATCGTGATTAGAGGACAGAGGTTGAGGGTGTATGATAGCGGTATTGTACTGGAACACAGAGGGTGTTTATAAAAATGAACAATAGAGCATGTGGCTCATTTTCCTCTCTTCTTTCTCTCTCTTCGCTCTTCTCCAAACATAAACCAAATTTTATAGCGATCGAAAATTTCCCTGCCGATCAGAAATCGCTTCCACTGACGGCTCCTCCCTTAACTGTTGTAGGACCACCGTCCATCCCAGATCTCCGGTTGAAGCTCAACCGAGATCTTCATCCGCGCCACCATGAGAAACCCAAAATAACCGTGGATCTTCTTCTGGATTCTTATGAACCCTAACAACTTCATCCAACCCCAAGAACCCTAACCTAAATTCATCAAAACCCTACGAACCCCAAGAACCTTAGGATTCTGAGATGAACCCTAAGTTAAACTTAACCATATCTTCAAACCCTAATCAGATCAAACAACCCTAATTTGTTTATCTCTAAATCTAACCTCGAATCATCAAACCTTAACCCCAACAAAACCCAAAAACCTTTATTCAAATCAAAAACTGATTTCATACATCAACTGACAGCAACAATTTACAAACCCTAAGCTAAGTGTTAGGCTTACCTCTTCGCAGTGATGCTGATCGTATTAATTTTAATCCTCTCCTCTGAATTCCACTTCTTACCCTTCTTCTTCTTCTTCTTCGTTAATCACAAGTATTGGATGCAACGACGATTTGAAGATCTTAGGGTTTCTGTTCAGAAACCCTAGATCTGTACGCAAAGGGGTGCTCAGAGCTTTTCGACAGCATCGTGCTTATTCTCCTTCTTTTTTTTTCAAATTCTCCCTCAAATTTTTCCTCCTCTCTCTTAGAATTTTAGGATTCTTTATATAGTGTTAATATTAGTGATAAATTAGGAAATATTGTTTGATTTGTCGTTACAAATTAGCGATTGAGAGTAGATTAGGGATTTGATTGATTTTAGCAGATTTTGTTGTAATTTAGAAATTAGGTTTTGATTCTGTATCTGGACGAAATCTTGTATAAGTCAATCATTAATAAAAATGGACTCTGTAATATTTGATTGTGTTCAATAATATTGATTTGTTTTGAATCTCTAACGTATCTGTTTTTTTTTTGGATTTTTTGGGTATTGTCGTGAAGAAACAGGGCCGCCGCTGGGTTGCATTAGGGTTTCCACCCTCCGTGTTGACTTGGGTCAACGAAAGACAAAAATATAATTTTAATAAAAATAAATAATAATAATAATAAAAGTAAAATAAATATTAATAATAATAACTGATAATTTTAATTATAATAGCAATTATTTAATAATAATACCAGTATAAGACTATAAATCTTATCTTACTAATGTTGACTTCGGTCGACTCATAACTAAAAGATAATAATAATTGTAATAATAACAATAATATTTGAATAATAGAAGAAAAAAATTATAATAAAGTTGGGAACCAAGAATCGACCATTGACTCTGGTCAACACCCTGGACCAAATGGGCCTCAAAAAAATGTATCCCTCTAAAATTCTAAACGGGCCTCAAAAACCATAATGGGTCAGCCTGATTTTCTAACATACCCCCTTATTATATTATATATAAAAAAAAGAATAATAACCTTAATGGGCCATCATATTTTGATGGCCCACTTAAAACATACACTTCCTTTAGCAATGTACCCATTTTTTGAAAGGACTAAAAAAGGTTTTACATGGGCCTTTCTGATTTTAGAAATCCCAATTAAATCCAATACCCTTCTAATAAAAAACCCCTTTAATTTAATACATGGAACCAAAAGCTTAACGGACCATCAGATTTTGATGATCCAAAGTACACCCATTTATGATTTTAAACCCTATAAAATAATATAAAATAAACAATATGACCGATATGGTTAAAGATTAAAAAAATAGTAACATAATAAGATTATTTGATTGGGTAAATTTGGGGTATGACAGCTGCCCCTATTTAATTACCCTTCGGTTGAATAGTGTGAGAATATGCAGGTCTCACACAAAAATTGACCAAAGATTGACTAGATAAGGATACACGGTAAAGCATACCCTAGAGAATGAAGAAATATAGGCAAAGATGATGATGTATCGTCTCGCCAGAGTTTGAACATAAAGTTTTGATTCGACTTAGATACGACGATGCAGATAACTCATCAATGGCTAAAAGAGATCACATATTTTTCGCGTATTTACCATAACCTAGGAGGAAAATAACACAAGTTTGAAAATTGAGTTACTAATGCTTTGAGACTAACATAGTAAACTTGTAACGCATATTTTTTTGTCTATTCATCACATCCCGAGGGATGAATAAAACAGAGTTTGATAACGCATTGCCGCATGGAGACTAACACAATGAATTATATCGCATATTTTGTATATTTACTAGAACCTAGAGAGTAAATAATACGAGGATAGGCTTAAGTATTTATCACGACCTAGAGGATAAAGAATATAACCCTGATAATTTGAATACCTACCACTACCTAGAAGATAGATAAAATGAGAATACGCTTGTGCATTTATCATGACCTAGAGGATAAATGATACGAGGATAGACTCATGTATTCATCACAACCTAGAGGATAAATAACATAATCTGATAATTTGCATACATACCACAACCTAGAGGGTAGATAATACGAGGATGAACTTGTGCATTTATCACGACCTAGAGGATAAACGACAAGGGGATAGGCTTATGCATTCATCAGGACCTAGAGGATGAATAAAATAACCCTGATAATTCGCATACCTACTACAACCTAGAGGATAGATAATACGAGGATGAACTTGTGCATTTATCACGAACTAGAGGATAAACGACAGGGGGATAGGCTTATGCATTCATCACAACCTAGAGGATGAATAACATAACCTTGATAATTTGCATATATATCACAATCTAGAGGATAAATATTTTAAAAGTGTTTTGATAATTGGATCTTAGATAACTATACTAAAGATAAGATCATATTTTACCGGTTGTGTATGTTCTCAAATAAGGTGTTTTTTTATTTTGTGGACAAGATAATTCAACAATGGGCCCCAAGAAAAGTTCGTAGTTTTAACCAAAATGAAATTGAAAAAATTCCATGCATGATATATATGAATGATTCCCTAGATTTATATGGAACCCAAATGTATATGCACTGAATTTTTTCTGTTTATGCACCGAATGTTTGTATATGCACCAGATGTTTATATATGCACCAAATGTTTTTGTAAATGTTTTGATATTTTTCTCCTTTTGAACCATTGGTTTTCTCTTTGTGTCACTGATTCCCCAACGCTGTATATTGTGTTTTCGTGGTATCTTTGAGTTTCTTAGATAAGATGAATAAGTGTCAGCAAGACTTTGATATTTGTATCATAGGCGCAAGCATAGGAGAGGGCGTAGTTGTGGACATATGTGTGGATGTGGCTATAGTCGTAGGAGTGGGCGTAGTCATGGATTTTCTTTCGATGTTTTTCTAACCAAAATTCTTTTTGATGTTTTATCAAATGCTTCTATTTGTTTTTCGAATCCCCAAAATGATTTTTATGCCGTATTCACAAGAAATAATCGTATTATTTTGCAAACAAGTCCGAAAAACACAAATTAAAAAGGTTGAAAAATAAATGTTTTATTGATAAACATGCCTTTGAATAGGCGAGAGTACAAGATGCAATCCCTAGAAAGAGGTAATCACAGAAAACAAAAACTGAAAATGAAAATGAAAATGACAATTGCTACTACTGTTTCTCTAATGTCCTTTTGATAGCTCCAATCTCCTTTGCTTCAGAGTCAAATGATTTGGATTAATCCATCTCCTTCATGGTCACAGTCGTGGTTCTTAGATTGAGATCTATTTGTTCTTTATTTTGAATAAGATCCCTAACTTTTTTCTGGAACGCCCTTTCAGGTTTTCAATCCACCGGGATGATTTTTTGTTCATGTACCTAATTTTTACCTGGACTGTCCTTTCAGGTTTTCGATCCACCGGGACGCCTCTTTTTGCCTAAGTCGCCCATTTAGGGTTCGAACTCAGCGGACTTTTTATATATAGTATTTTTTTGACTGTGTCAGAGTTTGACGGATGTGGCAGTTCTTCCCCATCCATTATTGTGAGGATAAGACAACCACCCAAAAATGTTGTTTTGACCACATACGGACCTTTGTAGATGGGTGTCCATTTACCACGTAAATTAAGGCGAGGTATTAGAATCTTCTTGAGAACCAAATCTCCTTCTTTGAACACTCGAGGATGAACCTTTTTGTCAAATGCCTTTTTCATCCGCTTTTGGTATAATTGACCGTGACACAAATTTGTCAAGCATTTTTCTTCAATGAGGTTAAGCTGATCAAGTCACGTATGAACCCACTCTGCTTCTTTATGTTTTGTTTCCATTAAATACTCTTAGAGATGGAATCTCTACTTCAACAGGAGTACTTCCTCCATGCCATATACCAAAGAGAAAAGAGTTTCACCTGTTGATGTACTTACAGAAGTACGGTAGCCATGTAGAGCGAATAGAAGCATTTCGTGCAAATCTTTGTATGTCTTCACCATTTTCGGAATGATCTTCTTGATATTCTTATTGGCATCTTCAACGGCTCCGTTCATCTTGGGTCGATATGGTGAGGAATTATGATGCTCGATCTTGAAATCATCGCATAATTCTTTCATTATTTTATTGTTCATATTGGACCCATTATCTGTAATAATTCTTCTAGGAACCCCATATATGCATATAAACATAGCAAATGTTGAGAGTTACTCTTTTATGTGCACGTGTGCTTTTACAGTTTCGCACTCACAATTGATAACGGTAAAACTTCCACCAGAAATGACAGATATTATACAAGTTCCTTCTACGGAAGGATGTTTTACAACCCAAATGGAGGAATTCCTTAATGTACAAAGTGAGTTCTCTAAATTCAGTGATGGGAGCATCTATAATACAAGTAGAACAATTGAAAGTCCTTACTTGGAGTTTATAGATAAAATTGATTGCAATAAGAAGCTTTGGGCTTTGGGACCCTTCAACCCTTTAACCATTGAGAAGAAAGATTCAAAGGGTAGGCACTCATTCATGGAATGGCTTGACAAACAAGAAGCAAAGTCAGTTATATATGTATCATTTGGAACAACAATAACCTTAAAAGATGAAGAGATTGAGCAGATTGCAATTGGGTTGGAACAAAGCAAGAAAAAGTTCATTTGGGTGTTGAGAGATGCTGATAAAGGAGACATCTTTGATGGGAGTGAAGACAATAGAGATGAAGTTGCAAAAGGGTTTGAAGAGAGAGTTGAAGGAATGGGGTTAGTTGTGAGAGATTGGGCCCCCCAATTGGAAATTCTAAACCACTCTTCAACAGGAGGGTTTATGAGTCATTGTGGATGGAACTCTAGCTTAGAGAGCATTTCCATGGGGTTGCCAATAGCAGCATGGCCTATGCATTCTGACCAACCTAGAAACTATGCTTTTATAACACAGATCCTAAAGGTTGGTGTAGTCGTGAAGGATTGGGCTAAAAGAGATGAACTGGTAACTGCTTCAAATATTGAAAATGTTGTTAGAAGGTTGATGGAAACAAAGGAAGGTGATGAGATGAGAGAGAGAGAGAGCAATGAAACTTAAAAATGATATTGGTATGTCCATGGAAGAAGGTGGAGTATGTCGTATGTAGATGGATTCTTTCATGGCTCATATCACTAGATAGTTTTCTTGTGGATGTTATTGCAAATTCCTATTATATGATGATACTTGATTAGTATATGAAATTATGTCTTAGTGTGTGTTATGTGTATTTAGAATATCTTTAGAATATTTATAAATTTATTATTATGAATTACATTTAAGCTTACTTGTTAATTTAACAATTCATAATAATCTTGCCCAACTACTGGCCAAATGCTATCATAATATTCAATTTCTTTTTCATCTCTTCACTAGCTCATTAGATGCTGGTGAAAAATAGGAGTTGTCTCTTAGTTTTGGAAGTGTGTATCTCTACTCCAAGTATTGTGTGTGAGTTGTAAACAACAAAGTTGATGTTTGTATAGTAATTTGGTTTAATCCCAAGCTATTAGGTTGGTTACTGTTGGCTGAGGTGTTACTGTGTAGCCTAGAAAGGTTACTATCTAGGATAAGTAATATTGCTTGAAGATTCTGTCCAGGACACAAAATACTTCAAGGTGAAGATTGATAAAACTGTGGGAAAATAATTCCTGTAAATAATCTTGTTTGTTACGTTACATAATGAAAGATCTAATTCTGTGTGGATTCGATGGGGTAACGTGCACTGTATTCTTGCATCAGAGTTAGTCGCCTAATTCGAATGCCTTCAATGGCACTTTACCTTTACAAGTGATCCACCCATGTAAAATATTTTTAGAGTATTTAAGTCATGCTTTGTAATCCTCTTCAAGTTTCTTGATCGAGAGACAGTTACTTTAAGATGAAGTTTGACAAAATTTGAAACTGATATATCACACTCATTTTAAAGAGTTTGTATAAATGATTTATTTTGTGCTTGAAGTTGGGATGGAGACACAAGAGTCATTAGAAGAATAAGACTTGACCATGGAAAGTCTCCATGTCGATGGGCTGCACTAGAGGAGTTGTAATAACTGGATGAAAAATATAGAGTCGCCACTGTAGCGGTAGAAATGTTTAAGACTAAGTCATTGGATTGACTAGACTTGTACAAATCAAAATAAAAATCGACATCGCGCTTTATTGTTTCCAAAGGAATGGGAAAAGAACAAATAACCCAAAAAAGAGGGGGAAAGATTCTAGGTAAGGGCGTTGGTTATGCAAAGGGAAGGTATTAGCACCCTAAACATCCACGGTACTTCGCAGGAACCTCTTTGTAAAATCTGTATATTTTGGCTATAAATTGTTGTGTGTAAAATAGATGGTGGAGATGGAAGAAGAAATATATTTTTTTTATGATTTTTACACCCGCCGCGGTTGCGAATATTTAGTGTCTACGTATCACCTTTCGTGCAATAGGGGATCAGGGTACACGTAGTTCACCTTTGAAATTTTTTAAAACACAAGTGTGTTGGTTAATTTTATGAGATAAGACATCATCGTCATTGTCTGTGTGGAAAAATATACTTACTACTCACAATCATGAGAAAAGAGAATTTGCATCATCTCAAAGTGGAGGATATGACTTGGATTTTAAAATCAACAATGTCTCACTCAACACCCAAGTAGAAAATATCTCACTTTACTACATATCGTAGAAGTGTAGCTGTTTGCATCACTACAAGGATTGATTAGAGTCAAATCTTTTGAGAAAAGTTTAAAATGAAAGCCAAGATGGCAAAATGGTTTGAATGAGATTGATTGATTTTTAGTCTTCTCACAAAAAAATGTCAAGATTTTATTAACGTTGATTGAAGTTTATTTGTGAAGAATGTTTTGAAAATGCATGGACCTAAGTCCAAGTTTATTATGAAAGTAGTTCAATTTTAAAAATAAGAAGAGTTTTCAAAAGGAGGGAGAAGATTTTTTGAAATTTAAGAAGATGGGAGGAGAAGAAGCGGTTATCCTAAAGCATAAGGTAAAACTTAGGAATAAAAACCATCTAACCAACAAGAAGACAATACTTGACATTATGAGTCAAGATAGAATTCCCATTCTTTGGATTGAAACCAAGCAAGCAAAGATACTATACCTCTTGTGAGAACCAAACTTCAAGTGTATTAAGTATTCATAAAAATTGGGTAGAGTAACGGCTGTATACGGGTAAATTCCAGATTACAAACAAAGAATGTAATCACAATAACCTGCACACAAAATAAACAAACAACCCAATGTCTTTAGGTAAACCTCAAGAACTCCATACAAAATATCAATTAAGGTCACAAGGTCTCCAACATAGGCCAAGGTTTCTAATCCTAAGTCCAAGAAGTCCAATACTCCATAATGCCAAGGATAGTAACCAAATAGTCCAAGTATCATTAAAGTTTTTATGATTCATGTTGATTATTAGGTGTCTTAGAAGAGAAAAGAAAAGACTCAAGTGAGCAAAATAAAAATGACATGAAATGTAATGCTTAAAGTAAATGGTACATAAAGCATAAAAAATAAAAGAGCATAAAGTAAAAACAATTTAATAATTAGTGGTTAGTTGTATGACCATCTTAAAACTTGCATTTAGAACTTATTAGAGGATTTGTAGAACCAAAGCCTCCATACAACAATTTGCATTTTCTTTTTGTCAAGTATATCATCAATTTGGAATCCTCAAAAGTACTATTTAATGATCAATCATGTTTAAGTGATCCGCATTGACCAAAAGTGTTGTAGATCCATTAGAGGATTGGTAGAACCAAATCCTCCACACAATGAATCTCAAGGTTATTGGATCAAGGAGATCAAATTAACATACTTGGGCTGGCAAACATAGGTTTGAGCCACAAATGATCATTTATTCGAATCAGGATAAAATTTAGCGCTATGTTAAGCTATCGTAAGTGGACTTATATATAAATTGTACCTATTTTAGGAGCCGGAGCTTCAGCAGTAGCCCTTGTTGCTTAAGGTTGAACACTCGGTGGCTGAGTAAGTGCCATGATCTTAGGAGCCCAATGGGGTTCCTTCTTGACATCCCAGAAAGCATCAGACTGAGGCATATGAGAGATAAACCACTGGTACAACAAAGGCGTGCAACAGATAATCATCCCTCCATGATAAGAATTCTGAAGATGAATAAAGTAATAAGCATCACCTAACAATGTAGGAACTGCGTTTCCAATCATGAAGATCCTGATAGCATTAATGTCAACAAACTTGTCCACATTAGGAAATAAGAACAACCCGTAAACAAGTAGAGCAATGATGGCCTCAAAAGCGATTTTACTCTTCATCCTGGCAAAGTAACGAGCTTTCTCCAATAAGAACTGGGCCGGTAATCCTCTAATCCCTCCTTTAGTAGTCATATGGGCTTCCACCTCAGACTTCCTCGGATGAATCAAAGCAGCAATCTCATGTGGTTTTGGCTCACCCTCCAGTGTAGGCATCAACTGATAGTCGGGAAAAGTAAAGGAATGATACATCAGATCATAGAACTGGACCAAGGTCGAGAGAATACCCTCCTTCATCCTAAGATTTATCAGAGGAATGATGGATCCATACTTCTTCTGAAAATCTGCAGAACACTCGATCTCGAGAATTATACTGATCAACTCATCTATCTTGGGATCCTTGAAACTGTACTTCCCGGTCTTTCTTTTTCCAGAATCCATGGTTAAAAAGTACCTGAGATATTCACAAATGGTCAACTTTTAAGTCCCTTGAAATAAGATTTCCTTAAAAGATGCTTATGAGTGCATGGATGCATGATGCAACAATCACACACAAGATCACACATATAGGGTTCATAGGTTCAACATCACGAGCATGAGATCGAAGGTACTACCCATAAGGTGTTGGTCTAAAAGTTATCACCTGCTAAACAAGGTTCTAGAGGTTCCCAGAGTCTACATCCTTCCTTCAGATATTACCAACTTCTCGATTAACTCGGTAATAAGTAATATTCTCAAGAAAAACTCGTCCGAGCATAGTATCGCGTGACAAGTATTTCTGAATTACTCCGTCATAGCTTCCGCACTACACCTAAAAGGACAAGATGAGTTTGGTATTCTACGGTCCTCAGCTTCAGTAGGCTCCCAGGTCGAAAGCAGTACGTCTTCCCGATTACTCGGTAAACGACACTACAATCAAAGGGGCCTCCACTGAGTAGGGGATCTCATTCCTCCTTTTTTGGGATTACTCCCTCAAAGTTAACATGACTATACCTCCCACCCTATCTTAAAGTTTGCCCAAGTCCAGGAATAGGACTTATAAGTAATCACCAAGCACCCTGAAAACCAGGAAATTCCAGACAAACATATATACAACATATACCACATAAACAATGATAGCACATATACAGATAAAAACAAAGATAGGCTCAACCCACTTAAGGATGGACCAGCAAAAGGTCAACCTGTCCCCAGTGAAGTCGCCGTTTTTCTGTAGCGGTAGAAATGTTTAAGACTAAGCCATTGGATTGACTAGACTTGTGCCAATTAAAATAAAAATCGCCATCACGCTTTATTGTTTCCAAAGGAATGAGAAAAGAGCGAATAACCCAAAAAAGAGGGGGGAGATTCTAGGTAAGGGGGTTGGTTTGAAAAGGGAAGATATTAGCACCCTAAACATCTACGGTACTCCGCAAGAACCTCTTTGTAAAATATGTATATTTTGGCTATAAAATGTTGTATGTAAAATAGATGGTGGAGATGAGAAAAGAAATATATTTTTCATGATTTTTGCACACGCTGCGGTTGCGAACCTTTAGTGCCTACGTACCACCTTTCGTGCAATAGGGGATCAGGGTACACGTAGTTCACCTTTGAAATTTTTAAAACATAAGTGTGTTGGTTAATTTTATGAGATAAGACATAATCGTCATTGTCCGTATGGAAAAACATACTTACTACCCACAATCATGACAAAGGAGAATTTGCATCATCTCAAAGTGGAGGATATGGCTTGGATTTTAAAATCAACAATGCCTCACTCAACACCCAAGTGGAAAATATCTCACTTTACTACATATCATAGAAGTATAGTTGTTTGCATCACTACAAGGATTGACAAGAGTCGAATCTTTTGAAAAAGTTTAAAATGAAAGCCAAGATGGCAAAATGGTTTGAATGA